CATCAACTCTGGAACATACTCCATCTCCCTTAGTCAAAACCCAGATCTGTTAACTCTGAGGCATATTGCACAGGCTACATTCTCAAGTTTTCCCTCAGGGACATGAGTGAAATGTCGAAGGGGGGGGGGGGGGGGAACGACCTTCTTTGTGGAGAGCAAGGAGCTTACTGTATAGACAAAGAATCACTGAAGGTTTGTAAGTGTTCTAGTTAAGTTATACAATACCTGGAATACTAGATAAGTAAATCACTATTTATTATTAAAACGTTCCAAATTAGATACAAAGGGGAGCGTTCAACTATCCTCTTAAGGGCTCCCTTCTTGGGTGCCAGCAGTTTTCCGGGAAGACAAATGGCTTGGGTCTGTTAGATCACAGTGGTCTTCTGGTGACAACCACTGCTGTCAGAGCTTTTGACAATGAAGAGAAACATGTCAAGCCTTTCAAGACAAAATATCCACATCTTTGCGAAAGCAACAGACAAGCAAAAGCAAATCAGAGAAGGCAGAGGATGAGAAGTAACGGTGGAGACAACATGAAGCATTATAACAACATTTGCAATTTGAGCTCTTTCCTTATTTAGTCCAAAGAACTTTGCATTGATCTTTTTATTTTCTGGGCCTAAATAACTGTAGTGAGAATCCACCTATGTTAGGATTGCACACCTGGATACACGCAGACAAAGAGCTAATAGGTATGAAGCAATATTGTTATGTCTATCCTAGGCTCCTGATTTCCTTAGATTTGTTAAGGTATCTAAATGCTAACTGCCTCTCTGGCTACAGAGTGAGAGGGGCATCATCATAGTACAATAGGGATGGCGGTACTGAAACATTCTGGAAAGTTCCATCAAGTTTTAAAGAGATGGTATATGTAGCAGCAAGAGCAATTTTTCTGCCACAGGAAGAGTGCAATCCTTTGAAAGATGGTAGAGAAGAACTGTGTCATGTGTTTGAGTGCAGTTGGGACCACTGTGGGAGGACAGTAAAAATGCTGTGGCTAATGGATCTTGGTTAAGCTAGCAGAGAAAGCCAAAGCTGAATGCTGAGCTGATCAGTAGAAGAAAAGTCTCTCAGCTTATTGACATTGTGCACGGGTAAGTACCCAGAGAAGATTTCTCCTTTTCAACAACTTTGCAATGAAGGAAGTAGGATGGGCATACAAGGCTGCATGAGCAACATTAACACTGGCATTTATTGATACTTTATAGTGGATATGTAGGGGTTTTGTTTTTTAATATATAAACTACACATAACACTGCAAAATGAAACAGCTTGTCTGCTTAGGGCATGACACTGTAATTGCTACATGCTAAGATTAAAAGGCCTGTGTGGCATTAAACTAACTGAACTTCTCCCAATTTAAGAAGAAAGGGCTAGTACTAACAAACTTTAAGTGATCTTGGTAGTCTACATTCAACCTCACAGAAGCCAAGAAATGTGATATTAAATCCATAAGTTACTTGCTTTAAAGAGAAAAAACAAACAAGTGAAGACACCTGAAAAGACTTTTCCGTAATATTTTATCGATAAATCAAGAACAGAAATTAAAAATCCTTATGAAAATAATGAACCGGTCAAACTTTATTTTTGACTTTTTGCTTTGTTTTCTTAAGAATAAAAAGGCACTTGCCACAAGTGTTCAATTGTTCTTTTGACTGTATGGGAAATAGGAAAGATCTATTTAGATCTATTTACTGATCTAGTCTCTGACTTCTATAGTTCTGATGTTTTTAATTAAGCAGAAGGAAAAAGAGGTCGTGTTCAGAGATGGAACTTTTTTTTAAATTTTTAGTTCAAGTCATGGATTCTTATTACAGCAGACACCAAATAAAGCTAGTCTCTGTAATGTAATAGTTTAAAGATGCCAGACAGATAGAAGCAGTTTTGTAGTAAACTGCAAACTCATTTCCAGTAAAGATTTTGGTAGAAGGAAACTTGGCTTGTGCTGTTGGGTAGGAACCTAAAGACAACATACATCACTTTAGTGAGAATAAAGTGTAGCCTTAGAAAATATGCACATCAGCACAGTTTAAGTGTGAAATACAATGGAGGATGTTGAAGTATAAAACCTCTTCACTAGTCTAACACTTCAACTTTTAACAGGAAGCCCCAAAGCCTGATTTCAAATATCATAAGAATGAGCATACCATCATCTAGTCCACTATGCCCAGATCAGATCAATAGTTCATCTAGTCACTATGCCCATCTATGACCACATCAAATACTGGATCCCTCAAAAGATGGTGCAAGAAACCCTATTCTGGAAAATTATGGAATAAGCTGCATGAAGGGAAGATTTCTTCATAACAGCTAATCAGCTAGATATATACCCTGAAGCATGATTTATAGCCTAGTTTTTTATGCTATCCTGTATTATCCACAAATGTCTAATTCTTGAGTCCAAATAAGCTCTTAAGTCTCAATGGTGTCTTGTGGAAATGAGTTCCAGATGACATCTGACCAATTTATATGCAAACAGTTGAAGCCAGATATTTAGTTTTACTGGTAGCTGAAAGCCCATGCTGTCGCACACATGTAATGCATAAAGTCACATGTGTAAAAGAGCCAAAAATAAATGAGAACTTAAAAAATGGACAATAACTGACCACAAATCTGAGTGATGACTGAACCCGGTGATATTCTAAACGAAAAAAGCTCTCAACCACATGTGTTGTAGCTCTTTCCATCACTTCATTCTGATTCAGATATTCTAGGCTTCAGAGCAATATTTGGGATTGTGCACGCTGGTTGTGTTGATCCGGTGGGGGAGGGAGGTGCGGAATGGATGCTGAGAGATCTTTGTTGATTTGTGCAAATGAAAAGGTGGGCAGTTAGTCCAAGTGATCCACCACATGTGCAATCTACTTTCACACAACTAATGAAACTGTTGCATACAAATTAGCTGTGCAGTAAGGGTGGAAACCGATTGTGTTACCTCTGAAATCACAAAAATCTAGGACAGTTGGCATGGCATAGATACAAGCCTTGGTGTGCACAGATGTAATTTATAAAGCCAAAATGGCTGAGAAATTAAAACTGGACAGTAACAGACCTCAAATCCCAGCAATTATTCAACCCAGTGATATTCTGAACAAACAGAGCTCTCAACCATGCCGGTAGCCACTCCCATCACTTCATGCTGACATTTAGGCTTCCGAGTGACACAGAGTGATTGATGTTCCTGAAATCTTATTATACAACTTACTTATTTGCCTCTGAACTCTTCATAACTGTGCCCCCAATAACCCTTCCCTGATCTGGAGGCTTGTAGTATAACCCTACTAGAATATTTGTGTTTTTATGACCTGCAATTTAAATTCAAACAGGTGTATTGTGTAGTCTTCTCCATTCAGGAATTCTCATTGGATTAGGTGAATCTTTCTGGTATAGCGCTATTCCTCACCTCTATTAACTAATGTTTTTTTTTCCCCCTGTGTAATTGGGAATTACAACAGCACATTTGTCATTCTACCGTATTTCAGTAGTTTCTATTTTGTCTAGACCCTCTTTCATTTCCAAGGTAGTATAAATGGACAACAAAAACTTGATCTAACTGCAAGCTAGGACCTATAAAAATCTATTCATGCTAAATTTGGACCATAATAGTCTTGCAGTTGGGAGAAATGTGTACTACATATAAATTTCCCTGTCCAATAATTATGATGCTGAAATAATTTTTCCATTACAAGATACTACTGAAACCACAAACCTCTCACCTTTACACTGCAAGTAGAAATAAAGAAACTAAGTATGGGATCCACCAGCATTCAAAGAAAGGAGAGAATCCTGGGTGGTTTAAGGAGGTGAGAACTTTGATGCTCTCTGAGGCACCGGTCCATTTCCCGAGATACACAATTTCTAGGTTGCCCTACAAAGGTATAAGTGCCACTCATCAGCACGGATGACTTTTTATAAAGGAACCTTGCTTTCCCATCGACCCTTTCCTGGCTTTTGAATATATACACTGAATATTGGTGCAAGATTTGTATTTCAGTGTTTAAAAAAAAAAGACACTTGACAGTGTTAATTCTAAAAACAATCTTTGTTTTCAATGCAGCCTTTGTTGTAGCCTCTAGGTTTTAGGTATTGGAGGTTGGTTCTTTTTGTTTTTTTAACATCAGTTCTGCTTACTAAAATCAGTGACTCCCATAACTCAAAGCTTTTTCTTTCTTTTTTTTAAGTGAAGCTCAGCAGAGCAATTTGCTTCACAAGGCACTGTGCTCTGAAATGTTTTCTTGTACTAGTTACCTGTGCACAATGTTCATTCAGGAAAGTTCAAAAGTTGACAATCTTTTAGAACTTTTACTAAAGCAACAAACAAGCCTGTATGGCAGCCATGCCCTTCCCCATGTTTAAATAAAAACAGAATAATGTAGGGGGTAAAATGTCAGCAAACCTTGTGACGAGTCCCTGAATCTCCTATTTTAATGGCAAAGCATCTTTGTCTGGTATCTCCTGCCCAAGAAGATCCTCAACTCAGAGGCAACAGGCTGGGATTTAGGGTAGCCCAAATAAAATGTTCACAATCTTCTGTTATGAAGGAAATTTACCACCACCACTACTCCCAACCCCCATTTTTAGCTCTATACACATGGGCAAACAATGCATTCATCCTCAGATGGAGCCAAATATGCTATTCTCCTACCAATCACTAAGGTAAAAAAAGTTATCCAGGATGAACCTCTTCACTCCCCCCAACAGAAGCCATTAGTTGAGGAACTTACAATACCCATCATTCCAACTAATCATCCCACCTGTGACAGTGGGATCACCGCCTGCCAAACCAGTGGGCAGGCCCACATAAGACCATATTTTGGGTTACCTTTAAACCAGCTACTTCTGGAGAGTAACTTCATGTGCCTGATTTAACTCACACTAGCACCACAAATCTGATAAACTTAGATTGCGTTTCAGATAATGAAGGTTTGTGGGAGAGTATAAAGATGGCTAAACTGTTTGGCAGATTATAAAACAAGAGTCTCAGATTCATGCACACTTACTTTTCTTACAATAGGTTGCTGCCCCTCTACACAGCCATACCAGTTCACTAGCTTATTCCAGGCTTCAGTGGGAACCAACACATAATCCAGCTCATCAATGAGATGTTCTTTTAAGGTCTGTATTTCTGGATCTAAAAAGGAAGAGAGAAAAAAAAAGTGAGATTTGAGAAGTGGGATAAACCAGAAGTTCTTCATGTTTTAATGGTGTTCCATACATTCTATAAAATGTAAGATCTCCAGGACATACAAATCAAAGTGTTCTTAGCCCTTTGGATGTTGGCTAAGATTGTGAAGTTTCATACTGGGAGCTATGAAAGGTAGAAACTCAGGACAAATTCTGTATTAATTCATTAAATGTCAGCAGTATCTTTAATGTTGAACAAGACATGATCCTCTGCCAAGAGTCCTCCTTACTCTGACAGTCTCAGAAAATAACTGAAGTATAAATGGAAAAGTTAATTAAAATCCATTATTTAAATTGATGCTTTCCACTGGATGATTTAAATCACTGAATTCAATTGCTCTGATAAAATCAGACTGTCCCAGGTTGGCATTGTGTCTTAGGATCTGGTTGTCAATTAAAGGAAGAAAATAAGTTATGCAAGCCCTCGGAAATGTCATTACAAAAAACAGAGGGCAACAGGATCCCAGAAAATCTTAATTGCCACAACAGCCACCTCAGAGGCCTTAAGTGCCACATGAGATCTAAATGATGAACAATCTCCCCCTGCCAGTCTGTGACAGTGCTGCACCACATTCTGAAGAAAATGATATTTCTATGGCATTATCAACCACAAGATGACACAGTTAACTTTCATTGTTATTAAAATATTTCAAAAAATGCAATGCAGAATGAACTAGCCTATATTATTAATTTGTGCTACAACAGAGGATAGTTCTCTTGTGAAGCTTAATAGCCATGACAGGATGGGAGCCTTTGTATTATGCAGCCAGCTGAGAAAGTGGAAGCCAAGAAAACCAAACAATAAGAAGGGCTGAAGCACTATCTTGGAAGAATTTGGGATGGGACATAAGATTCTTGGGAGCTCCACATAGCAACCCCCTTTCCATGCTATGAGGCTCCCAAGACACACAGGTGTAAGTCCTCTTACAACAGAGGACATGATATATCTTGATTTTAGTAAGGCTTCTGACACAGTCCCACATGACAATATCATAAGCAAACTAGGGAAATGTGGTCTAGATGAAATTACTATAAAGTGGATTCATAATGGGATGAAAGACCATACTCAAAAAAGAGTAGTTATCAATAGTTTGCTGTCAAACTAGGAGGGTGTATCTAGTGGAATCCTGCAGCGATCAGTCCTGCATCCAGTACTATTCAATGTTTTCATTAATGACGTGAATAAGGGAGTGGAAATTGGTATCATCCACAAATTTTATGAGCACAAAATGGGAGGGGTTGACAGCACTTTGGAGGCCAGGATTAGAATTCAAAAGGATCTTGACAAATTAAATAACTGGTCTGAAATCAACAAGATGACATTCTATAAAGTGTGAAGTACTACACGTAGAAAGGAAAAATCAAATGCGCAATTAAAAAAATGGGTCATAACTGGCTAGGTGGTGCTGAAAAGAACTGGGTGAGGTAGTGAATATAAGCCAACAATGTGATACAGTTGTGAAAAAGGCTAATATTCTGAGGTGTATTAACAGGAGAGTCATATGTAAGACACAGGAGGTAATTGCCCTGCTCTACCTGGCACTAGTGAGCCTCAGCTAGAGTACTGTGTCCAATTCTGAGCACACACTTTAAGAGAGATGGGCATAAATTAGAGAGAGTCCAGAGGAGAGCAACAAAAATGACAAAAGAAAACCTGACCTATGACGAAAGGTTTAAAAAAGTGGGGGGGGACATGTTTACTCGGGGGGAGGAGGGGAAGAGAGTAGGGACCTGATAGTCTTCAAATATGTGAAGAGCTGTTATAAAGAGGATAGTGATCAATTGTTCTCCATGTCCACTGAAGGTAAGACGAAGTAATGGGCTGAATCTATAGCAAGTGAGATTTAGGTTAGATATTATGAAAAACTTTCTAACTAATGTTAGATAAGTTCTGAAATAGATATCCAAGGAAGTGTGTGGGATCCCCATAATTGGAGGCTTTTAACACAGGTTGGACAAAACAGCTAACAGGGATGGTCTAGGTTTACTTGGCCATGCCTAAGGACAGGGTCCTGACCTGTGGAAGTCCTTTACAGCCCTATATTTCTATGATTCCAAGAAATTGGTAAGCAGACAAGCTGAGGAGTTGGAAAATGGTTATTTCCAGATTTATTATGGAGCAGCTGCTAGTCGGATCATAATTAAGGTTGTGACATTGCTGTTTAAAGCTGAATTTTCAACGTGCTCTAAAACCACATGCTCAATCAGATCTTTCCCTGCAGGGATGCCAAGAGGAACTGGGAACATTACAGTACCTTTCCCAGCATTAGCAAGAACTACTTTTTTTGGGAGCCCTCCAATTCAGGATTCCTATTCACACGCTCCAACAAACCTTTAACATGCTCTGTACAGCACCACTGATTTGTCAAATACTTGTTGTGGTTTGGATGAGATCACACTGCGCTAGAAGAGGAAAGGGTAATAAAGTACTATGATGTTCCAAAGGAACACTAAACTGCAGGGAAACCTAAACTGAGCATTTCCTCATTCTCCCCCTCCCTTCCAATACTTGGGTTTTGCATTTTGAGGTCCCATGTTTTGGAAGTAGAAGGCAGTACCTGTGTGCTGCAGAAACATTAACCAAGTTTTTATGGCAAAAAAGTTTATGTAACACTAGGGCAGAAAAATTATTATACAATTTGCACCACCACAAAAATTATTCACACACTGTATATACAGACAATCATCAGCTACATCTACGGACAACCAAGCAGGCATTGCAGAACAGAAGCAGTGTTACCACTGGTTTCCACTCAGCCACTGACTGTATTTTCTAATTAACTTTTAGTATGTTCGTTTCCCCAAACACTTAGCAAGGCACGGCAAGAAGTTAATTAAGTCCCAAACACAGATCCAGGAGAACTGGTTTGTGAGTCAGATCAAACTCAGCACTTCAAGCCATCACAAACTAACTCTCACAGAAGTTTAGAATTGAGCTTCACCCAGAAGGATCCACCAGTGGACTTTAAGGGGGAGAGAATTCCAAACTCACAGTCTCTCAGTGGAAAAGACAGCCTCATTGCTGTTGTTCCATAAAGGTTTGATGCACACATGGAAACCAAGAGTCTCTTTCCTAGCGCCAGTGGAGTCCAGATTTATCTTGCTAATGACCTGGTAGGGTGCCTGCCACAGCAATCTCCATGCCAGTCAATTGACAAAGCAGCACTAACAGTGGCTCCAAAGTAGATTGCACATTCTATGTTACATGCTATGGTGTCAGGCACTTAAAGTAGCATTACAGGAGCAAGAGCATAAAGAGTGCATTATATCACCTGACAGAAGATCAGCAAGAATTCAAAAGCCCCTTATCCCCTGCACCAGACACACTAGCCTAGATCTGGTCTAGGGAACACAGAGAACTTTATAGCATATTTTGTTCATTTTTCAGAACATTAAGTCTGAAAAGAAAGTTTCCTAGAGTTATCAGAATTTTGTATCAGGCTAAGAATTCATTGAGACTGATCCAACTATCAAAACTCAAACTGGACATACATTTCTGCTTCCAGGTGCATCTTTTGAAAGTTTTCTATTTCAGTTTCTATTTACAGTAAAGTTGACTGTCTCCAGACATTTACAGAATTTCATGTCAGTGTGTGGGAGGGAAGGAAGTAACTTCAGGCTAGGGTGTGGAGAAATAGTAGAAGATGATTATAATGTTTCCAGCCTTCTCAGAAAACAGAAATTATTCATCCTTAACTTCACTCATCTGTGCTCAACCTGAAATCCTTTTCCAGCACATCATGATAAGAGCCCAGACTGGTCAAACCCATTATTGATATTCCATTATTTCACACTCCCTCTGGACTATACGCTGTGCCCCTCAGAAAGGTTAGTGGGTTTTGTTTTTGTGAGCGCAGGGAATGAGAAGAGAAGCTACATTGCAGATTTTTTCAGTCAGATGGTGTAAGAGCTAAAGGACACACTTTCAAAAACTGCTAAGAGCTCCTAGAGTCTCCTTCTCTGCCAGACACAAATAGCTGCCCAGCTATTCAGTGCACCTTAACTGCATGCATTTTACCTGCAAAGAGTCCAGAGTTATCGATGGGTCCAGGAAACAGGTTAGGCTCACCCACATTGTACATGTCCCAGCTGTCAAAACCCACATACTTCTTCCACTGTTTGAACCACCGACTGTCAATCAAATACCTGGAACACAGTTTGAATAGCAAGATGTCAGGAGCAGCTTTCAGCTTGTACCAGCCACAGCACATACTACAACGTCACTCTCGCTGGAGGAGGAATAGCTGGTGCAGGTGCATAGAAAACCTTGCAGCTATGAAAGCCCTGGGAGCAGAGGCCACTCTAGGCTAAGGCAACTCAGCTGTGTAGGGCAGCAGATTATATTCACGGATGGGAGGCCTGTCAACAGCGCAGAACAGACCCTAGTGCTGCCCAGGCCTCTTGTCCTGCTCTGTGTAGTGCTGCATGCTGGCCAGGTCCAACTCTGTCTTGTACCCAACCCTTACCTATCACTGGCTGCTGAAACAGCAGGAGCAGCTTGTCTCAGAGCCCTCTCAGTGGCAGGGACTGGCTAGATCCAGGACACAAGAGACGCATCACCCAAGGTCCAAGGGCTTGCCAGGAGGGAAGGCAAAGGACAGGTTGGGACGCAGGAGCTCTGGGAGGGGAGGCTAGCATAGTAAAAATAAAAATAAATACACACACTTGAGTATTTTAACAAATGAGCAGCAGTATGACCTAGTGACCGAACTAGACGACTAGCTAAGTAGTTGGGTCAACAGAACCCTGTTCCCAGCCTTGACTCACTTTGCAATCTTGGGAAAATCATTTAGGCAAATATGTCCCAGGTTAGTGGACATTTTGGAGGGCCTCAGTTTTTTGTTGATCAACTTGGGTCAGCTATTGCCAGGTTTTTGGAAGTGCTGAAGACTCATAACTCCAACTGACTTAAGCAGGAGTTTCTGATGCCCAGCCCCAGTAAGTAGGCACCCAAAATCAAGGCACTCTTGATGAGTAGACACTTTTGAATATTCAGCTTTCAACCTCTTTTTGCCTTAGTTTCTCTGTTTGTAAAACTTTGAAAGTAATACCTCCCTCCCATTATAATCACTTTGAGAATCACTGATAAAAGGTGCTATTTCATATAGTAACTTGTAAATAGATCATCTTTAATTCATGTAGTGTTAGTTATGGTTCACACTTCTCTTCATTAATGTCTGTATAATCTTGACATAAACTGGATAAGGTAGTTTAATGAGAAACTACTGATTTTTGTTGTTGGACACCACCACAGGCTTTGAGTGGTACAAGCTCGGCAAGCAATTGTGGTTTCATCTTCAGTGCTCTGGATCACTCCAAACTCCACTGAAATCAATAGTGGGCCTCAAATGTAAAAGCAAGGGGCATGGGACAAGCTTTTCATATCAGATTTCATATTTGTCTGAAAAGTGCTTCCCATGCTTTCAGTGCTATATACAGAAAATAAATAAGATGAAAATGTATTGCTATGGAAACAAAGTAGATAAATTCTTTTTAAAAAACTGAAGATGTAAAAACTGGCAAAGAGATAAAAACAAAGACACAAAATATTAAAGACATGTTTGAACTTCCCATATGGAAGGATAGCAACAGAAATTTCTCATTTAGACTACGTATTCCCTTTTGGAAGGGAAATAATTGGCATTTGCACGTTGTATCTCCTATGAGTTTATTTCATTTTTTTCCTCGCTCAATAGAACAAAGTTTCCACAACGATTTACATACCAGGTTTATATTTCAAGTTTTTCTAATGGTGCGATTTTATTTTATTTTGTTTAACCTACCAATGACATCACTCCCCACATTGGAGCAATTATCTGTAAGCAGGGTCTGAACTCACCTCTGAAATCTAGTGGTGAACTGGGAGAAAGAGACTTAAGGAGCAGACCATATTTGTACAAACACACCTACTCTGCTTAGGTAACCTGCAGAGAGACCTGCTTTGGTCCCTTTGGCATTTCTGTTTTGGGTTAAGATTCACTTTACTATTGAATGCAGGAATAATGAAATATTATTGTATGAGCAAAGGGCAGCATAGCGATACATAGCATGCCCTAATTGAGGGGGGGTCATCCTAATACCAAGTCCAGTTGCTAAGCAGGGGATAATGATTCCACACCTAAGTAAAAAGGCAGAGAGAGTGCAGACAAATGTTTCTACTTGGTGAAACTGACTCTGTTTAACAAGACATTTAACATTTGACCATCCCCTCCACTGTTTAAAGACAGAGCTGATCAGACTCAGTTTAGAGTACTTGTTTCTGCTCTGTAATTAATAGAGCTGAAATCACTGATATGTTGATCTAAGGGAAGCTGGTCTTAGACTGGTGTGGAGATAGTATTTCCATGAAAAGACAGTACAAATAGGCAGCAGCAGAGACTCCCAGTTAAATCACTAAGAACTGGGCTGACAGAACCACAGAATCACAGCTAGAGCCAGTAGTGAGCAATGGCCCTCTGCACAAAGAATCCCACCCAAACGCAGAGGTAGCATCTACACTAAAGCACGGCAACAGGGCAGCAGTAGCGTTTTAAGGGTAGACAAACCCTGAGTGCATCCGAAGAAGTGAGGTTTTTACTCACGAAAGCTTATGCCCAAATAAATCTGTTAGTCTTTAAGGTGCCACCAGACTCCTTGTTGTTTTTGTAGATACAGACTAACACGGCTACCCCCTGATACCTGAGTGTTATGAAGTCCTGAAGAGCTGAATGAGCAGGTTTTAAGTATTACACATTTAACGAGGGGACCCACATTAGAAACCTGCACTAGGACGCATGTTCGTGTGGCTCCGCCACTGGTGACTCAACCACTTCAGCAGCCAGAGCAAAGGCTCACACGCACGTGATGCCTCCCAGGAGCCGAGGCTCGCCTTATTGAGCGGCAGGGCACAGAGACCCACACCAGGACATGAGCCCTGAAAGCACCCCCAACTCCCCACTCAGCCTGGCCCCCTCGGTCCAGCTCCGCTCCCCCCTCACACACACACACACCTAGCTCCGTTCCCCGGCCCCACTCGCCCCCCTCCGCCCCGACACGGCTTCTCACTGCCGGGGGCAGCCTTCCTCTCACCAGGACTCGCCCGGCCTCAGAGCTATCCCTAGCAGCGGCCCCAGCTCTGCCCGCTGGGCCCCGACGTCCGGCCTCGGGCCACCATCTAACTCCGCCGCCATGTCTGTGCACCCGGCGCCCCCGCCCTGCAGCGGATATCCGGCCAACGTGCGCAGGCGCACTGCCTGCCTCCCTCCCGGGCTCCAGGCGCCCCGGCAGCGCAGCCCCTCTGCGGGAGGCGGGCCCCGCCCGCAGACAAGAAACGCGGGGGACTGGCTGCTTGACAGAACGTGCGGCTTGGCTGGTACTAAGCATGCGCAGTAACGGCCACTGAGACCACTGCTCTCACTGGGCATTAAATCCGCTCCCTGTGGTATTTATTTGGGGTGTGCATAGTCGTCTAGCCAAGCAATGGCATCTTCAGGAGCATGATGCATTCTTCTAGGCCACCACTGAACCTAGTCAGCAGGCATTCCTCGACGATGTGCGTCATCGTCTGTGTTGCGCCACAGCTGCACAAAGGGCTGTCGCAAAGGCCCCAGCGATACTGGTTGGCTGTGCAGAAACCTTGGCTTGTCCGGAACCTGTTCAACAGGGACCATTGGCGACAGGGCAGGTTGAAACTAGGCGGGCAGATGGTGGGGTCGGCAACGAGGGACTGGTTAGGGATTGTAATAGATATCCATTCCTCTCGCCAGAGTGTTTCTGCCCTAACATCCTGGCGTGGCAGATGAGACCATAATGGGCAACGTGACGGCAAACATGCAGCTGGTGGTTTAAAAAGGTCATTGTGCAACAGCAAGCTTGAGTCGGTGTGTACTTTCTCCAGTAACTTGCCAGTGGCAACCTCTCGTCTGATATGAGGAGGAGCAATATTGCTCAGAACTGGAAGCCATCGGACTGGAGTCGGACTCAGGGTGCCAGAGGTGATACGCATGGCGGCATGTAACTGCATATTCACCAGTTTGGTGTGTGACGATCGACTCCAAACTGGTGCACAGTACTCCACCACTGAATACGGACTGGCAAGAGCTGACATCTGCAAAGTTGGAGCACGAGCACCCCATGACGAACCTGCCAGTTTGCTAAGATTGTTGCGCATCTTAACTTTAGCTGCTGTCTTCTTCAGGTGGGCATGATAACTCAGTGTGCGGTCTAAGGTCACACCTAGAGAGACCAGTTCTACTTCATGCTTCTCCTTCTGACCATTCAGATAAACATTCAGTTCTCGGGTTGCACTGGCGTGATGAAGATGGAACAAACTGGAGACTGTTTTTATGACACTTGGCTGGAAGCTCCAAGTCTTACAGTAGTCAGCTAACTTTATCATGTCCAGGTTTAAGGTGGCATCAAGTTCGTGAAACATCCGGGCCTGGGTACCGCAACAGATGTCGTCTGCGTAAATGAACTTGCGTGACTCTGTTGTTGGCAGGTCATTGATGTAAAGGTTGAATAGGGATGGAGAAAGCACAGAGCCCTGGGGTAACCCATTGCTCTGTCTTCTCCGCCATATGGATGGGAGGAGACAACCGAGAGGATGAGCTTTACCTGCTCCAGCCGCAAGTGTTGGAGTCTGCTCTGACACCTTGGAACAGCGCAGCAGCCACCTGCACTCTGCCAACTCTCAGTGACACCCAACCAGATAGCCGGACACCTACTTAAAGTGTCCAGAGCACCTTTGGAGTAACAGGTGCGAAGACAAGTGAGGAACAACTGGCATATGTTTAAACGTCTACACCAGATCAGAAGCTGCCCAGAACCATTCACTGTAACAGAGTAGCATCAAATGTGGAACAGCTGGGTAGCACCAAGTGTGGAACAGCTGCAGGCTATGACAACATATCTCCAGAATTCCTGAAAAACCTTGGCCCCTGTGCTTGGCTTTCACTTGTGAAATTCTTCACCAGGGTCATCAGTGAAGGTAGGCTACCAAAGATATGGCGCACTGCAAAAATCATTGGCCTCTTAAAGCCTGGAAAGGACCCAAGTCAACCATCAAGCTATCTGTGCCGGGGGGGACAGACAGCTGTAGGAATGGGCAGGAGAGGGACTGTGGGGTAAAATAAGGGAGGGGGCATAAGTGCAAGGTTTGAGGCACTGAGGGGGGCAGAGGGGGAAACCCCGCACGTGGAGGGGCAGAGGGAGTAACAGTTTCCCTCAGGGCAGCGAGCCACCTGCAGTGTTTGCAAAACCAGGCAGGTTGTAGCCCCTGTCATAGGGCTGTCCCACTCAGCATCCGCCTCCCAGGGCTGGGGTTTGTGCATCCCAGTGCCTACACAAGGCATCTCTATCCTAGCCGGTGTGATGTATGGAGCTGCTAAAGGAATCTTGAGTCACTGAAACATCTTACACACACCCGCAAAAAAATATCTGTATATCATGGAATCATAGAATTTCAGGGTTGGAAGGGACCTCAGGAGATCATCTAGTCCAACCCCCTGCTCAAAACAGGACCAATCCCCAACTAAATCATCCCAGCCAGGGCTTTGTCAAGCCTGACCTTAAAAACCTCTAGGGAAGGAGATTCCACCACCTCCCTAGGTAACCCATTCCAGTGCTTCACCACCCTCCTAGTGAAAATGTTTTTCCTAATATCCAACCTAAACCTCCCCGACTGCAACTTGATATTCCTGTTCTGTCATCTGCTACCACTGAGAACAGTCTAGATCCATCTTCTTTGGAACCCCCTTTCAGGTAGTTGAAAGCAGCTATCAAATCCCCCCTCATTCTTCCCTTCTGCAGTCTAAATAATCCCAGTTCCCTCAGCCTCTCCTCGTAAGTCATATACTCCAGCCCCCTAATCATTTTTGTTGCCCTCCGCTGGACTCTTTCCAATTTTTCCACATCCTTCTTGTAGTGTGGGGCCCAAAACTGCACACACTACTCCAGATGAGGCCTCACCAATGTCGAATAGAGGGGAATGATCACATCCCTCGATCTGCTGGCAATGCTCCTACTTATACAGCCCAAAATGCCATTAGCCTGCTTGGCAACAAGGGTACACTGTTGACTCATATCCAGCTTCTCGTCCACTCTAACCCCTAGGTCCTTTTCTGCAGAACTGCTGCCTAGCCACTTGGTCCCTAGTCTGTAGCAGTGCATGGGATTCTTCCATCCTAAGTGCAGGACTCTGCACTTGTCCTTGTTGAACCTCATCAGATTTCTTTTGTCTAGGTCCCTCTGTATCTTATCACTACCCTCCAGCGTATCTACCTCTCCTCCCAGTTTAGTGTCATCTGCAAACTTGCTGAGGGTGCAATCCATGCCATCCTCCAGAACATTAATGAAGATATTTAACAAAACTGGCCCCAGGACCGACTCTTGGGGCATTCTGCTTGATACTGGCTGCCACCTACACATAGAGCCGTTGATCACTACCCCTTGAGCCCGACGATCCAGCCAGCTTTCTATCCACCTTAAAGTCCATTTGTCCAGCCCATACTTCTTTAACTTGCTGGCAAGAATACTGTGGGAGACCTTATCAAAAGCTTTGTTAAAGTCAAGGAATAATATGTCCACTGCTTTCCCTTCATCCACAGAGCCAGTTATCTCGTCATAGAAGGCAATTAGGTTAGTCAGGCATGACTTGTCCTTGGTGAATCCATGTTGACTGTTCCTGATCACTTTCCTCTCCTCTAAGTGCTTCAAAATTAATTTCTTGAGGACCTGCTCCATGATTTTTCCAGGGACTGAGGTGAGGTTGACTGGCCTGTAGTTCCCTGGATCCTCCTCCTTCCCTTTTTTAAAGATGGGCACTACATTAGCCTTTTCCCAGTCATCCGGGACCTCCCCCAATCGCCATGAGTTTTCAAAGATAATAGCCAATGGCTCTGCAGTCACATCCGCCAACTCCTTTAACACCCTCAGATGCAGTGCATCTGGCCCCATGGACTTGTGCTCGTCCAGCTTTTCTAAATAGTCCGGAACCACTTCTTTCTCCACAGAGGGCTGGTCACCTCCTCCCCATACTGTGCTGCCCAGTGCAGTAGTCTGGGAGGTGACCTTGTTTGTGAAGACAGAGGCAAAAAAAGCATTGAGTACATTCGCTTTTTCCACGTCCTCTGTCACTAGGTTGCCTCCCCCATTCAGTAAGAGGCCCACACTTTCCCTGACCTTCTTCTTGTTGCTAACATACCTGTAGAAACCCTTCTTGTTACTCTTAACATCCCTTGCTAGCTGCGACTCCAAGTGTGATTTGGCCTTCCAGATTTCACTCCTGCACGCCTGAGCAATATTTTTATACTCCTCCCTGGTCATTTGTCCAATCTTCCACTTCTTGTAAGCTTCCTTTTTGTGTGTAAGATCAGCAAGGATTTCACTGTTAAGCCAAGCTGGTCGCCTGCCATATTTACTATTCTTTCTACACATCGGGATGGTTTTTCCTTCAACCTCAATAAGGATTCTTTAAAATACAGCCAGCTCTCCTGGACTCTTTTCCCCCTCATGTTATTCTCCCAGGGGATCCTGCCCATCAGTTCCCTGAGGGAGTCAAAGTCTGCTTTTCTGAAGTCCAGGGTCCGTATTCTGCTGCTCTCCTTTCTTCCTTGAGTCAGGATCCTGAATTTGACAATCTCATGGTCACTGCCTCCCAGGTTCCCATCCACCATTATCCATTCCCATATCCCATCCATTCCCATTTCCCACCATTAGACATCGTCAGTTTCCTATCAATGGCCTGGACTTCCAATTTAAATAAATAAATCAGCAAACCAAAGTTCTCATATGCACAGACACAGTGTGAAGCGATAGCTGCAAATGTTTTTGCTCCATGGGCAAATGATTAATTAATTAACTATCTGAAAGATGTTGAATGTGTGTCACTGTGTGTTGATGCATCAAATCACAGACCTATGAAATTGGTTTCTGGCTTGGTTTGCTATTTCAAGGCTTATGAAGGCAGTGCGTGTGGATTTTGTCAAACTTGTGGATTTTGTCAAACTTAAAAGGCGAGACTTCAGAACTTATTGCAGCTGAAATAATAAGGTGGTGCCGTTCTCAGTAGATAATACAAACACAAACTTTGGCAGCCTCTACAGACATGGAAGATGCATGCCAAAGTAAGATGAGTGTAGGCCTTGGATGCCCTGCTCATATCATGCACAAGTGTTCCTGAACTGCAGGGGATAGAATGCTTTCAACATCTACCACACTTGTAATCAGGGCCATGCTTAGGCAT